CCCCTAAATGTGAATCTATTTTCTCGTTCTTTATGGCTGAGTAATATTCCATTTTATAGAAAAACCACAACTTCTTTATCCAGTTTCCAACGGATGGGCAAATATTAATATAATTTTTTAAAAGGTAACAATGTTTTACACCGATTGATCGGTTGATTGTTTCCTGGGATCGAACTCAGGACCTTGTGCTTATGTGGCAGGTACAGTGCCACTGAGCTAAATCCCTGGCCTGGGTCTTTAATATTTGTTAAGGGTAAAGGTCCTGGGGATAAAAACATTTGAGAGCTACTGAGTTAGATGCTTAGTATCAAAGTGGAAGATGTGTTTGTCTAACTAGGAAGAAAGCTTTTCTATTTTTAAATCCATTAAGTACAGCTACACTGTTGTGGAACCATCCTTATCATGATTTGATTGGAATTGAGACCTATGATACTTTCAATCAAAGGCAATCACAATTTTAAAATGAAAGCTTTTCTTGATGTAACAAATTGTGTTAGTTTTCTCTGATTGCTGAGACAAAATATACAACACCCAAATTAAAGGAAGAAAGGTTTATTTAGGCTTACAGTTCTCAGAAATGTCCGTCCATAATCGACTGGCTCCAAGGCAGGGTGGCCAAGAGGTGACAGTTTCTGGTGGCAGAAGACAGCAAAAGCAACGAGAGACTAACAGTGCCTTTCTGCCCGTTTTTTCATTCAGACTACTTAGGGTGGGTAGCACTCACACCCTTAACCCTAGTGCCCTTGGGCATAGCCCCACCAGGAATCAAGCACAAGCTATAGATTCAGTCACCTCCCTTAAAAGTGCTAGGCTTTGGGGGGGGCATCTAAGCACAAGCCATAACACAAGTTAAATGGCAAGTTCTGGTAATTCTTTGAGGAACTACTGGAAAACGAATAACAGGCCAGCGCAGAGGGCTAAAATAGATACAGTAGTCTAGAACAGTGATGGCGAGCCTTTTGGAAAGGAACGTCCCAACCTTGCAACCCCAGACCCAACTATTTATAGCAAAGCATCAACACTGCAATTAAACCTGAATACTGAAGTTTTACTTTAGAAAACAAAAAGTGTTATTTGATGCTGTGCTGCTGGGGTGACTTGGCTCACCTGCAGACAGAGAGGGCACTGTGCCTGCTGCAGCACATGTACCACTTGTGGGCTTGGCACCACTGTTCTAGAAAGAGGCTGAAGTATTCATAGGAACTTAGGTTTGCATAAAAGTGGCCTTTCAAATCAGTGAAGACTGTTCAGTAAATGCTGTTGGCAGAAACAACTGAAAAAAATGATCTCTCGACCAAAGTCCTTGTATGCAAATGAACTTTAAGTGAATTAAAATATTAAAAATGTAGAAGAAAACATAGAATGAGAAATCAGATCCAGACTTCTGAAACTATGATGGAAATATCTGATGAGTCTATGCCAAAGTAAAGGCAAAAGTAGAAACTTTCTATATGGCAAATAAAATAAAGAGCAAAATACAACTGATAGTTCCAGGAGGAGTGGTGCACACCTGTAGTCCTAGCACTTGGGAGGCTGAGGCAGGAGGATTGCCCATGTGCCACCATACCCAACTTCCATTTTAATTTTTATTTATTTATATTTAGACAGCGTCTCCCTATGTAGTTCAGGCTGGCTTTAAACACACAGCAATCTTCCTACCTCAGCCTCCTGAGCACTGGGAATTACAGGCATGCACATTGCTCCTCGGCCTTTTGGCTAAGATCAAGTGTACAGGCATGCACCATCACACCTGGCTCCATTTTAAATTTTAAAAGAAACCTACCAGTGTGGAATTTTTAAATAGATCACATCTGTCCAAGTGGACCTTTCCAGGGTACTCTCTTTTAGGTTTGCACTTATATTTTCATTTAAATCAAAAACATGAGCTGCAAATGGAGCACATCAATCACCCACAGAAAGATGTCACATTTTTAGGGCTGGGGATTTAGCTCAGTGATTCTGTGCCTGCCTCACAAGTGCAAGGTCCTGGTTAAATCCCTGGTACCCTGGCGGCGGTGGGGGGGTGGGGGTATAGGGGTATCTGGGGATGTAATCAAGCAAGCGAAAGGGGCAGAGCCTTTGCTGGCTACACCTCAAGACCCTGGGTGCCATCCCTAGCATCAAGGAAAGAAAATGAGGGGAAAAACAGATTTTACT